CCCACGGCCCGGGAGCGCGAGCTCCCGAGTTGGCGGACGGCGGCGCGGCGGCCGCACTGAGCATGCCCAGCTTGGCGACCGGACCGCGGAGGAGTTGACTGCGAGCGCCTCGAGCGCTCCCATCCGCCTCTCCGGGTTTTCGCAGCCGCAGAGCGCGCAGTCCGCGGGCCCCGCGCCCCAGCCAGCAGCAGGGTTAACCCAGCTATGGAACCAGCACCAGGAGGGACCCCCTGGCCCTCGGGCTGCGCCCTCTGCCTCGACCCCATTCTGCGGTTGCCATCCCAGCAGCCTGGGCGAAACCTCACCTGCTGGCGGCACAGGGATGGGTGCCGAGGGGAGGGGGCGATCCTTTCCGGGGAACGGTCAACCCACCTGCCTGCGCCCCTCCGTTGCTCCAGGTGGATACCCAGATGCTGGGCCACTAGCCTTGAGCATCTAGACCTAGCCTAGGAGGCGGGCCCAGTGTGTCCTGAGGGACCCTGCAGGAGGCGCGTCCAGGAGGACGCGCCAGCACTTGGCCAAGAATGATGGCTGCCATTTATGGAGTCTTCCTTTGGTGGTATGATCTTGAGTGTCCGAATTTGCTTCTGACAACAAACCCTCCAAGGTTTTATTTGCACTCTCGTTATGAATGAGGAAATTGTATCAGCTCCGAGAGGTTAGGTGACTTGTTCAAAGCTGCAAAAGCTAGTCGGAATTTGAACCTGCCACTGCCAGAGCTCAGCTTTCTGACCTACCTCCCCTGCTTTGATTTGGAAGGGCCGGTGCTCGATCTGCCCTTGGCCTGATTGTGTCACGTCCCCCAAACCTTGAGGAATGTCTTGGATTCCTGTTCCCAGCTCTGAAAGGATATGCAAGAAATAACCTGCAGCCTTTGTATAGCACCTGGTGCACGCTGGCGACATATTAATGTCACTAAAGTGACATACTCACTTTACTGGATTTAAAGCATCCAAGAGAAGGAAGAGGCAAGTGGATACGGCGATGGCATTATAGTAGACTAGTTCTTCACTGCTCACTCCGAACGTCACGAGTACCTTCTACCCAGCCTGAAACCTAAGTGGGGCTGTATGTAGCTGAATTTACTACTCAGTCTGAGCTAGGCCTTCTGTGGAATACTTCCCTTCTACCGAGAGATGCTTCCTGCCTACCTCTCACCTTGCCGTGACCATATCTCTCCTAATACCCTATATATAATAATACCATGGTGTAGCTTCCCTTGCGTTGTAGGCATCTATCAAATCCAACTTCTTTGCTTGGAAGAAAAGATAGTTTTTATTCATATCTAATCTTATCAAAAAAATCGGACATGTCAAAAAGCGAAGAAAGAATATAATAAATGCCCGAGTATTCGTCAGCCGTGACAATGTCTCACCATTTTGATTTCACCTGTTTTTCCCATTCCCAATGGACTGGTGTACACACCGATGTAGTCATAATTGTTTGATTTTTATAAGAGGTACACAACATTGCACTTGACACATCTCCAAAAAATGTTGCACTGTGGGATGGATGGCCGGTGGTTGAACGTGTAAGTGTGTGGGCTTAGGACTTCATCACAAGTAGTATTTCACAAGCAGTGTACCATACAACTCAGTCTGATGTCCCTAGTTTCGGTGAGAGACGTGTCCAAGATTTTGGTCATGGGATGACTGTCACAATCAGGGTCCTATTGCTGTGAAGAGAGGCAACTCTTACAAATGAAATTGTTGAATTGGGACTTCCTTCCCCATTCAGACATATAATCTATCACTGTCATGACAGGAAGCCTGGTGGCACACAACAGACATGGTGCTGGAGAGGTAGCTGAGAAGACCACACCCTGAGCAGTAGACAGACGGAGGAGACACTGGGCCTGGCTGGAGAATTTGAAACCCCAAAGCCCACCCTCAGTGGCACCCTTCCTCCAGCCAGGCCCCACCTACCCCAACAAGGCCACATCTAATGAACAGCATTCAAATATTTGAGGCAGTGGAGGTCATTCATAGTCAAGCTGGCACAATGGCCTAGAATAACTCCAAATCAAACATTTTTGCTTGTTTTGGAGGATTTGGGGGGGGGGGGTTATGATTTTTTAAAAAGCTTATGGTAATGGTAGTGCCTTGATTTGATTAGATTTTGTTTTCGGTTTTCATTTTGATTTGATTTCAAGCCACAGATCTTTCTTCTTTGCAAAGATGAAATTTCCAAGCCGTCCTCTTCAGACATATACCTGCTGCCAGTTGTTAAGAGCCACGGCTTATATGAAGCCTACTCTAAACTAAGGCTCGCTGTAATCCTTTGTCATTTCCAGTGCCCAGAGCACTTATTTTTTATTCTTTTTTCAATACCTCATTACTTATTGATATCTGTTCAAATATATGACCCAAGATTGTCTTATTCTCCTCTCCTTTCCTTACTCTTCTGTCCTTCCACTGCAGAATTAGTCTTAAAGCTACAATGCAGGCTTAACCTGCTGATCTTATCCTGAAAGCCATTGTGTTATTTGCTGTGCTTTACGCTTCCCCATGGTGCTTGCTAAAGTAGCAGCTAAGTACAAATTCCTATTGAGGTTTCCGATGCGTAGACCAGGCTGGCCTTGAATTCACAGATCTCTGCCTGCCTCCACCTCCCAAGTGTTGGGATGAGAGCTGTATACCATCACACCTGGCTTGATACTGTTCTTAAAGTGTGTCTAATAGTTACCTAGCTAAGGGATTCCTCTAAGACTGGCCCCTCCTCCAAAGGTTCTCAGCCTGTCGGAAAGGATGAAGTGAGGGACTGTGGATATTTTAAATGGCTGTAGAGGAAAAGTAATGGAACGTGGCTAGGGGAAGATGAACTACAAAACAAAACTACAAAAAAAAATATTAGGGAGCTGTGACACCCAAGCTAGCTCTCCAGTACACCTTCAGAGACTTGATAGATATTTAAAAAGTGGTCCTGTTCTTGTGTCACATCCAAGGGCTCCTCAAACAACCTTCAGCACCAAGAAGCTTCCCTAACTGCTTATAGCTGCTTCCACTTTTCTCTGTAGGCTTTGGCTATTCGTCTTCAGCAAGTCATACCTCACTGTTAGCATCAAGTTTGCTCTCTTGGGCAAAGTTCCTTCAATATATCCCAAAGCTGGCTTCCTAGTCCTTCATTTGGTCAGCAGGTAATGTGTAGGACTCCTTTGCCGGTGTATACACTAGACAGACATTTCCTCACCAATATTCTCTCCTTGCCAACCATGGGTATATTGTGCAAGCCGCAATCCACCTTAAAAGTTCTCCAGGTTCGCACAAGCTACAAAGGGCAAATGGCGAAGGTGGTCTGCAGTCCTCTGCAAGTTCTTCTCGTGAACGTGTAGGATAACAACATTTTCAGAGCATATCTCAACAATGAGAATGAAAAATGGCTAGTTACAGAGCAGATCCCTCATGAGCCCTGCCCTACCCTTCCTGCTGGACAGCTGCTGGTCCCAAGCGATCAAAGGGGGGCAAGCCGTAAGTAGAGTTAGACCTGCCCCCCCACCTGCGCTTGTGATCACTGTCAATGCACTAGATGCAATAATTAATCGTTACATTGCACATGTAATCGTGGGCATCAGAAAACAGTTGTGGCATAAGAAGCTCCTAGCATTTTGCTGTGCCACAACAGTACGCCTTCACTCAAGCGGAAAGAAACAGTTCTCAGTGCTGCGGTGCCTGGAGGTGCAGTAATTAAAGCTGCTGGGTTTTCTCGTGGGATTGATGCTTGTCCAGGTGTATATGTCTCTGTGTTTTGGTCCCAGTTTATCTGCAGGCAATCTTGCTTTGCTTTCCGTTCTTCTTATGCCCCCATTATGTTTAAATGTGTTTGTGTTATGCCTGCCTCTGAATCAAAAAATAAAGTTCCATACTTTCCTTGAGTCAAAAGCATCAAACAACGGACAGAAAAACAACTCGGGGGGCTGGAGAGATGGCTCAGTGATTAAGAGTGTGCGCTGCTCCCTATTTGTATCCCCACCTTCCGCAGTCCACTTGCAAAATGTATTCTATTTCCCCTTCCCAGGAGATACAGGTGCCCCCAACACACACTAGGAGGCCTCCTTGTTACCTCGCCTCTCTGAGTCTGTATTGTAGCATGATTATCCTTTACTTTACAGTCAACATCCACTTGTGAATATGTGCCATATTTATCTTTCTGGGTCTGGACCACCTCACTTAGGATGTTTTTTTCTACTTCCATCTCTTTGCTTGCAAATGTCATGATGTCATTTTTTTAACAGCTGAGTAATACTCCATTGTATAAATTGCTATATTTTCTTTGTCCATCCTTGTGTTGAGGAATATCTAGGTGGTTTTCAGTTTCTGGCTATTGTGAATAAAACTGCTATGAACATAATTGAGCAAGTGTCCTTGTGGTAGGATTGAGTCTTTATACCCCAAGAGAGATATAGCTGGGTCTTGAGGTAGATGGATTCCTAATTTTCTGTAAAACTGCCATACTGATTTCCATAGTGACTGAAAAAGTTTTCACACCCACCAACAATGAAAGAGTGTTCCCCTTGCTCCAGCAAAAGCTGTCACTTGTGTTTTTGATCTTAGCCGTTCAGACAGGTGTAAGATGGAAGGAATCTTAAAGTAATTTTTGATTGGCATTTCCCTGGTGATTAAGGATGTTGAACATTTCTTTAAGTGTTTCTCAGCCATTTGAGTTTCCTCTGTTGAGAATTCTCTGTTTAGATCAGTACCCTATTTTTAATTGGACTATTGGGTTCATTGATGTCTAGTTTCTTGAGTTCTTCTACATTTTGGATATTAGCCTTCTGCCAGATGGTAGAAATCTTTTCCCATTCTGTAAGTTGACTTTTTGTCCTATTGATGGTGTCCTTTGCTTTTAAAGCTGAAGCTGTTCAGTTTCGTGAGGGCCCATTTATTAACTGTTGGTCTTAGTGCCTGTGCTACGCGTGTTCTGTTCAGGAAGCAGTCTCCTGTGCCAGTGAGTTCAAAACTATCCCCCGCTTCTCTTCTACCAGGTTCAGTGTATCTGGTTTTATGTTGAGATCCTTGATACTCTTGACCTGGAGTTTTATGTGCCGTGATAAATATGGCACTATTTGCATTCTTCTACTGGATGTCGGCACCAGTTAGATCAGCACCGCTTGTTGAAGATCCTTTTTTGTTCCATTGTATATTTGTGGCTTCTTCATTAAAAATCAGCGTCCATAAGTGTGTGGATTTGCATATGGGTCTTTGATTCAGTTCCATTGATCAACATGTCTGTGTTTATGCCAATACCATATTTTATTACTATTGCTCTT